CACTGGAACAGGCTGCCCAGGGAGGTGGTGGAGTCGCCATCCCTGGAGGTGTTTAAAGAACGAATAGATATGGCACTTGAGGATATGGCGTAGTGGTTAGAGAAATGCTGGGAAAAAGGTTGGACTTGATGACCCTGGAGGTCCTTTCCAACCATAATGATTCTGTGATTCTGTGTGATTCTGTGAGTGTTACTCCAGAGATTTCTTGCTGACTCTAAGAACAGGGAATTAATGCCTTAATTCCTGCAGTTAGAAGCTAGTGATTTCAGCCAGTTTATTTTAATGAAATTAGCCTGGATTTTCATTGTGATTACAGGGTAGGATTCTAATGAAACTGCATAGAAAAGGTTAAGTTAGGGACATTCGCTGGTAAAATATAATGAGGGTAAATCTATTGAGCAGGCAAGGAATCTGAACCCCAGCTCGGTAGTTCTCAGTAGTCCCAGGGATTTTATTTAGTAAACTCATTTAATCCAAAGCTTAAATAAGATGGAAGAACTAAAATCTGTGCTATTGAAAACTGTCTGAGAATGTTGTAAAGAATGTGACCTCAACTTCTGCAGTGTAATACTATTACATATTTTATACCTTCTGATGCTCTTTGACACTTTACTATAGTTTGTCCCTAGCCCTTTGTGTTTTCCTGAAGTACATCAAACTGTTCTGAACCACTATCACTGTGTCCTCTGAAAATATTTTCAGAAAATGAAGAATCTGTTGCTTTTGAGCAAACTTCAACATTGCCTGCTTGTTATGAACCAGACTGCCTTAACATTTTTTAAAATGCTAACTTGCAAATGAGATTAGACCCCTTCAAGTATTTCTGTGTTCTGAGAAATGATGCAATAAAAAGCTCATTGTTACTGCACACATCAGCTCTTTATGTTTAAGTCATATCTACTTTGTTCTCTTGCAAATTAATGCTTTATTATGCTTAGCAAGAATACTTGGGGGAAAAAAACCAGTCTGTTGCTTTGCTGAGAATTGTTGCTCACTGAAGTCAGGTTAGGAGCATTCATTGTATGCCTTGGTGAACAATCCAGAAAACATTGCTGCCTTCTTGGTTCAGTTCTTGGCTTTCTTCAGACAATCTTTTGTCTTCATTTCCCATCAGTTTTTCCCATCTTCAGTTTTCATGTAGTGAGTTTGTCATGCATCTGGCTAAAACCAAGCCAGATGTTCAAGCAAGCCAGATCTTCAAGCAAGTTGCTCTCATTTGTAATGAAAATGCTATGCTCTGCTTCTGTGCTAAGCTATAGTGAACTAGTTGTTTAAAGGTCAAATTAGCATCCATACGGGATTCATTTTTTGGTATTGAGCATTGTATGAATTTCTAGTTTAGGGCAAATGGGCAGGTGAGTAGCTGGAAAAAAATCAAGTTAAAAGGTTTACCTTACCATGAAAAGAGCTGGCCAACAGTTAGAATTAATTGAGCTTGATTTAAAAATTGTTCCAGTTTTTCTCAGGACCACCATAGTCTCTTGCAAAATGCTGAACAGTAATTCCCAAACACAGGTGGAATGATGAAGTAGGAAGTACTTATGTGCAAAGCTGGCTGCAAGGTATTTTAACAAATAGAGTATAGTCAACCAAACTAAATTAGCGAGCTGAGAAGTCTACTACTGAACTCTATAAAGACTCATAAGGAGATCTCTTGTAACTCATTCAAATCTGCAATTGTCCAACACAGTAATGGAGCCTGACAGCTTAGCAGTGAAGCAGTGAGGATTTTGCATGTAGCACTTGCCTTCCTTTCTAGTGGGAATATGTCTGATAAATACACTTCAGTCGGTCATTTGTGCTTGACTTTAGACAGCAAACTGTCAAAGTTGCACCAATGTTTTTAAGAATGCTAAAAGTTTAGTTCAATGATACATGGTGTCTTCTGCCACAGTTTTATGTCTGTTACAGTCACTTGGATTTTATAGGAGAATATGACAGTCATTTATCTGTAACTGGCTAATTTAAGTGATGATTTTGTGGTTGGTCATCTTTATCATACCTACATTTTCCTAAGAGAGAAAAATATATTCTACCATATGGTTTTGGGTTGAAATGATCATTATTCTTATCCCTGTGGGACCCAGAAAACATCATGAGACCTTTAAGGGTACCATAGCATTATTCATTTCATTATCAATCAGCAAATTTATTAGAAATCAGTGAGATGCTTGATAATGACAAAAGGGCTGAGTTCAGGGTGAATGATACTGTGACTTCAGCTTGGGGTTTTAGAAAGAAGCTTGGCTAGCTAGTGCTTGTCATTGGCACTTTTTCTTTAGAGCTTTGCTATTTCTTTGGCACAAGTCCATTGACTGAAGGTTGTTGTGGGCACATTATCTCAGTGTGACAAATGACCCTGGAAACAAATGGCAGGACTACTGTGTAATGTGAGTGAAGGTAATGGATGATCTGGGAAGTAATGGATAGCTTCTGAAGACTGGCTGATAGACCCCTATGCGAAAAGTAATGAGTACAGAAGACTTTTTTTATTTTTATTTTTTACCTCATTGAAGAGTAATGTAAAAGAGATTACTTTCTTCCACCACTGAGGTTTCTTTTCCAGTGGGAAAATGGAGGACAGCATTTCTGCTTTGCCTTCAGCTTTTAGGTCTGGAGCGATACTGCAGCAGCACTGCATGAGGTGAGAGAAGACTGTGCAGAAATCGTGTCACTGGCAGAAGACTCTCACTGAAGTGATCAATAGGATGTCTTCAGCTTCTTCTTCTGCATCTCATTTAGTTATAATGAGAACAAAGCATCTGACCTAATCTGGATTTAACTTAAGTGAAATCAGGAATCAAAAAAATAAAGCTCAATCTTCCTCCTTTTAACTTCTGAGTATAGCAAAATTGAAAACACGCTCTTTGTTATTCGTACTGTGGTGCAGAAGGTTAGGATTTAGCCATATTTTTAGTAGCTGAAGTCAGGGTTTAAATAGCACAAAAAATTTTCTCAAGGCTTTCTAGCATAATGCAATTACTGGACAGACAAAGACAAGTTAAAAGAATACTTAATGTTGCCTTGTTGAGATGGACAGCTAAGAAAAGTAAGATATAAGTATTACAGTCTTTTTGGATGTATGTTGTAGATTGATGAAGTAAAATTACTGATATAGTTTTACTAGTGAAAAAGTCATGTATTTTTCACAAATATGACTGGATTATTTTTTTTTCAGAATTCTTTATAACAGAAGAAAAATATGGTTTTAATGCTTCATTATTGCAACAGTAGCAGTTCTTATGGCATTGCCTATATGCCATACTACGGCTCTAGCTTTGATTTCAGCCCATTGTGTTTAGTCTCTAAAGACAGGACTCTTATTCCAAAGTCATGTTTCTCTTTCAGAGTTGCTTCTGAGTGGAAATAGAGCATCTCTACATGCCATAACCATGCAAGAAATAAAAGATTTTTGGCTCAGGAGGGAAGGCTGGAAACTGACAGCATCATTCTGAGAAGCTGTGCTTAACTTCTGTCACATGCAGTATTTGAATTTCATCAGTAGCTTGCAAGCCAAAGTAAAACTTTACTCCTTTTAGAAAATATTAAGGATTCGTGGTCTGGAAGCAGTAATCTGGAAAAACTTTGTCTGTTTCATTGTTCCAGTGCACAAGAGCAACACCATATGGAAGTATGGTAAAGTGTTTATGCAAAGATGAATAAGTGACAAGCAAAATATCCCTTAGACTTTAGACCTTTGCTCTGGGCTTTTCTGCAGTTTGTATAAAGTGCAGTCCTTAAAACCTGAGCCTGGAGCATGTTGCTTAGGGCGGTGGTGTTGCTGCTGCCGAGACTTCTTGTTAGATGCCATTTTCCCCACCAGCTGATCTGTGCTGTACAGTTCCTCCTCACTTCTGGCAGCGGGCCAGTTGTCTTTCTGATTTTGATCAATTCATGATGTGAAGGGAAGGTTTAGTAACTGGAAAAGTTAATTTACTATTTCTCGTGTTGCTCAGCAATGAAGCCTCCAAAGATGGAGTGAAATAACAGGGTTAGTGCAGTCAGGGCAGTGGGGCCTCCCTGTGGGGTTTGTGAGGTCAGGGCCTGGCAGCTCGTGCCTGTCCCACCACCCCAGCCAGGAGCAGGGCAACTGGGGGAGCACTGGGGTGGCCCTGGGCATTGAGCACCTCTCTGGGGATGGGCTGAGGTTGGGCTGGGACGTGGGCCCAGCTTGGAGGGTCCCATGGCCAGACAGGGCTGTGGGGAGCTGTAGACTAGCCTGGCTGTGGTGTTGCTTGGGCAGGGGCTGGTGACCTTGAGGAGAGGGTTGAAATGAGGCCATGGGCAGGGTGGGGAGAAGCTCCAGGAGGGTGAAACAGGGTCCTGAGTTGTGGACAGGGTCAGAGGAGCTCTAAGCAGTAGGCTAGGACAGACAGGGCTGAAGTGCTCCAGTGCCATGACAACTGATATGCTGATGTCAGTGTGGCATGATAACATGTTCACAAAACAAATTGTTTTCACTGTATTTTTCTGTATCTCTGACTCTAAGCTAGAAGCTCGTCATGAAACCCTGTGCTTCTAGCCACCCATCTCATACTCGTGTCTGTATTTTGTTTGCCTTGCGATGTGGTTGATAATAGTTATTTCTTTCAAGGCCTGTTCCCTGCCATTTTGAACTTGGCCAGCAATGCTCACATCTCCACAAATGCCACCTGTGGGGAGAAGGGACCAGAGATGTTCTGCAAACTGGTGGAGCATGTCCCAGGACGGCCCCTGCGCAACGCCCAGTGCCGAGTCTGCGACCATCACAGTGCCAATCCCAAAGGCAAGTTTCATGTCATTTTTTGTGGTTTTGGTGTGTTTTGTTTTTCTAGTTTCATGAGTTTGTCCTTGTTTTTCACCCATCCCCATTAATACAGGGTGCACTGGGGTAAAGTACCTTTTAGTCTCTCTTCCAGGTGAGTTATACTACCTTGGAGGAAAGGGCTGACAGAAAGCATGAGCATGTTATGTCACCATTAAGCACCACAGAGTCCAACGGCCTTTTTGTGTGAGGGAAGATTTCAGCTTTTGCATCTTTACGGCAGGAGGAAATTGTCCTCAGTGTGAAATAAATGTGCTGGATCAGAAAAAATGCAGTGACATGTATTTTCAAGAGGTGTTTTATTTTTTGCTTTAAAACAGAGCAGCACCCGATTTCCAGTGCAATTGATGGTACCAATAACTGGTGGCAAAGTCCCAGCATTCAGAATGGAAGGCAATACCATTGGGTTACCATCACCTTGGATTTAAGGCAGGTGAGTAACATTTAGGTGAGCATCATTTATTGTATGTAGGGTGAAAGCCGATGTAATTGATTGCCGTTCTGCAATCAATGGTTGGATAGTTAACTGGCTAACCATTTAGTTGCACATAAGTTAACATGGAGAGTTAAGACTAAAATGAACTGATTTTAAACAAGTGCATTTTTCAATTATTGTTCTGGAGCATCTTGGAGATTTTATTCTCAACAGACTGTAGTGGAAGAGACTATGTAAGCATATAGGTCACAGGTGGTTGTAATTTGTGGCTTGGTAACAATTGTATATATGTGGATGAGAGTGTTTACACAGGTGTTTCTTCTGTCTTGGTAACCTTCCTCTGCCTGACCCTGCTGTCTTTTCCTCAGCGTTCCTCTGATACTGTTTTCCTCCACCTTTGCTTTCATGCAAGTTACTTGGTAAGTGTAGGTTATTAGAAATGTCTTTCCAAGCAGCAAACAGTATTTTTGAGGTGTTGCTGTAAGTATATATTTTATGTATGTTGTCTGTTGCATGTGTTTCCGTTTATTAACTATAATGATTAGCTTGTCACCTGATCACTGTACAGTTTCTTAGTAGAAGTAGTAAATAATTTGGAGTAGGATGTGGTAGAAACCTTTGACATTTACATGAAGAAGACAGAGCACAATATATTTTTGGTCCATAGATATTGCAACTCAGTTATGGAGGAGGAAAGGTAAGGTAGGTGTCAGAGAATTATTACATTCACATCAATTATCTCACTGTAGATCTTAAATTAAACTCTGTTTAACTTTTGTCAGTATTTTTGCATATTTACACTAAATATGTAAACCTGTTAATGTGATATAGTGGTCACTTTGAAGTGTAAAAAGTCAGAAAGTTCAATTGCAGCATCTCCAGAACCCTGGAAACAGACTTTCCTCAGTTGAAGGATGCCCTTCAGGACAAAACTTGCCCTTCAGGCAAAAACTTGCATAAAATGGGGCAAAGTTAGTATTGCTGAAAGAAGACTTGATTTGACAATTTCTGTGGTTTTCTTACATGATCACCGTCTTGTTGGAAGGAAATGGTAAGAAATGTTCTATATTGTATCTTCTATGAAGTTTTGCTGTCAGTTGTTCTGAAGAGTTAGGCATTGTATCTCTAAACCAATGATTTCTGACTATGGGGAGACTGAAACTGGGCAGAAGTTGGTTGCTCTGTTTTGGCACTTTACAGCAAAGACAAAATATGTGAAGAAAACGTGTTTTTCTTGGCTTTTTCTTGCTGGTTTGCTCTGAATAAATCTATGTGTTGGCCTAAGCTATTTGAAAATCATAACTCAAGAATCCGTTATTATTGTGGGGATTCTTCCAATCTCTCTAAGAAGCTTTGTTACTAAGAAATATGTACTTTAGGTATGTAGTTGATAATAAGCTTTTGAAAGGTTTTTAGACCCTGCTTGGAAGTAATTTGGAAGATTAAAACAGAAGGTTTAACTTTCATGTTTAAAATGAAGCATAGATTAAACAAGTGCCTAGTTTGCTCTTTAATTAGAAAGCCAGACCATTAGGAAAATAATCTCAGGGTATCTTTTGTCAGTGACAGAAGGTTTGGATAGGACTTTGTTGTTTGAAAAGTTGGCTTTGTGTTTTGTTTGTAAATGGACAAACAGGAAGGAAAAATGGAGGAAGGAATGCTTTAGTTTTTATTCTCCTAGAACATTTTCACTTTGGAAGCAAACCAGTTGAGCTGCCCTCTAAATCTTTTATTCTCCAGCCTTAGTGCTGTTGATGTTTCACCAAATACATATCTTTCCTCTCCTTACCCACGCTCAGTTTCACTAATTCGATTTGAAAAGTTTCCCCCAAGGGGCCTTTCTTCTGTGTTTTCCTTAGAGAGTTTGAGAGAGAGAAGGCATCTAGGGCTATGCAAACTGAATGTAAATTACTGTTCTGTGAGAAAGGATTTGGTTAATAGAGATCGCTTCAAGTCAATGAGTTATTAGAGCTGACTTGGTGTGCTTACTGCGAGTCAGCACAAGTAAAGAAAACACAGAATAAAAGCATATAAAGGACCTTTAGCGATTTTTAGTAACTGTTTCCTTCATAAATTTGCTTGAGAATGTGTTAAAGTACTCTTCTAAGACCTTTAAAAGTATTCCTGGAAGTCAGTGTCTGTAATTATGTGTTGCAGTATATCTTTGGCATTGGTACTTTTTTTTTTTTCCTAACATTCAAGCTTTGTGTATTAAATCTGTCAAATGTGTATTAAAGTAAATATGTCCTTTAACTTTCCTTGTCAAAATATAGAAAATATTCACACCCTTTTGTGATGTGAAGAATAACCATCTGGTCATTATCTGTGTTTTTTGAGTAATAACCAGAAGATCTAGCAGTAAGAAGAATGGGTTGTTTCTTGGGATTGTTACCAATGTGCAGTTTAGAGATACGATGCTGTGGTTGGGCTGATGAGTGCTAGAATATAGCCTGGGCTGGCAAATGTGGAGAAGATTCCCTTAGCTGGTGAAAATTCGCTCCAGCTTACCCTAGGTGAAATTCTGGCCAGTCTGTCCAGTGTTTGTCTGTGTTGATCTCTTGGCTCAAAGATTAAGGGAGCAGAGGTTATTCTTTCAGCAAATATTCTACCTTGCGATTAGTTTTAGTCTAAAAACAGATGACCTGAAGAGGAGCTTAATGCTATCTCATTAAGAAAACAGGACTGGCTAATAAAAATCTGTATCAAAATTGCTGTTTTGATCTTTCGCCTTTGTAGAGTCCATGCTATTTATAACTAATGCTAAGCATTTTGTAGGGGTAGCCAGTGGGTATGTTAGCTCACGTGGATCATAACTAGGTAGATGTTTTCTGGTGTGCCTTTCAGTCTTTCCAGGGCCCAGATGTATGATAGTCTTTCCTCCCCCCCGAACCCCCTCTTTCCATTAAGTGTATGGCAGAGATCCAGAACTGAGGAGAGTAGCTTAGCAATGAGGTGTAATATTGATGTACAAGATATCAAGGTTTGATTTATGACTTTGTGCTTCCTACACTGGCAATTCTACAGAAACAAAATGCACAGCAGCAGTTTTAGATAAAAACAGCATTTTTTCCCTGAGTTTGACTCCTGTACAGCTACTTGGTAAAATTACAATGAATTGAAATAAATGCAGGCTATTATACATGTCAGTAGGGCGCTTGGGACAGCTGTAAAATATTTCACTGTCACACTGTTAAATGAAGAATACTTTCCTTGGTTTTACTACCATGCTTCAGACTTTTAAAGGTATTTGAAGGTGCTTTGTACTAGGCATAGTAGAAAGGCAGAAGTTTGTACATCATGAAGTCCTTGAATTCTAAAGCAAGACAAGTTGTTCTTAAAAGACTCATAGTATCAAGTTGAGAAAACATCTACAGTTCTGATTAAGTCAGAGCTCATGAATATTTCATGAGTACTGGATTGCCACTCAGAGGCTGATGTAAGACTTATTTGTAGCTTCTTCTGTTGGAAAGAAAAAAAAATATAATATGATTTGTACAGAGCCTTTATCTTGCAATTAATTATCAAGAAGGAGTTTCTGTAAGGACAGATCCTTTGCTGATGTAAAGATGTACTCTGACTTCAGTGGACTAATGCTAATTTATTTTATGTGGCAAGTTTAATTAAAAAGCCTTTTGTGGCTTTGTAAAACTAGGTGATGCAGGATTTAGGGTGCTCATTTGTACATTCTTGCAATATAATTCTTGAATAAAATGAAGTTTTCTATTCTAAAACAACGGTTGCATATAATGAATCAAAATCTTAAAGAAAAGATAATTCTGGAGCCTAGAACTTCTACTGGATTTAGTTTATTTTTCACTTTTACCATCACAGACTCCTCAGAGCAAAATGTTGCAAGCAATTGCTAGGCTTCACAGTCTCTAATATGGCCTGAAGCCGTATTTATCCCTTAAAAAGATATTTCTGTGACCAGTACAGTCTGATATGCAGAATATCCCTTAGTGTAGTCTTCTACTCTTGGAGAGTTTGTGCAGTTTACTTTTAGGCTTTTTGGACAGTAAAATGAAATTGGAGAGACTGTTATGGTAACCAGATTTATTATATGTGTTGGCAGCACTGAACAAAATGGATTTTTCAGTTTCACTTAAAATGCAGAGTAATGTTAGTTGTAATAAACAGTTTCACCACAGGACTTGTCATGCTATTTTAAAAAAAATACTTAGCTGATTTTTTTTTATTTCCTTTCTGTATTCATCCTGAAGGAAAGATTTTATGAAACTAGAAGGAACCATTCTATCAAGAGTCTTGCATTCCTCTAGACTTGTTCATTTTGCAGTCTTCTGCGTTTTGTGGTTTACGTTATGCCAGTGTGATTTCGGTAACATATGCAGTAGGACTCTGGAACTGATCCTGAGGTCCTAAAATCATATCCTCCTTTCAGTTTTTTTTCAAGGTCAGGTAGAGTTTGAATTTGAATTGGGGTGTAGATTTGAAATAGCAGTTGGTACCTCTGTTTTTAATAGGATAAACATTTCTGAAGTTTAGGGGAAAAAACCGCCTGTGTTGTGACTTAACTTTTTAACTTTTTGCTTTTGGAGCCTGGGCCTCAGATACTCACAGTTATGAAGAGGCAGAATCTTCCCTTGTGGTTATCTCCGTTTGTGTAAATTGACAAGTATAAATGGGAGTCATTATCTGAAAAAAAAAAATAAATACCAGAACTGCATATCATGGCTCCTATCTGTGTGGTTGTAGAGCACTGACCATGTCCTTGGAAATGGGGACTTTTTCCTAACATCTGCTGTGTGGCCACTGTTGCCCAGATGTACAGTATGGAGCAAAAAACCATGCAAAATTTCCTGATGAATGAGGGAAAGGGTTCGTTTATAAGTCTGTTTCAAGAATAACATACTTGTTGTTGCTGCATTCAGGGAAACAAGGTTGTTAGGCTAAATAAAGCTGCTACGAAGAGGTTCTCCAGTACAAGTTTATTTGGCTGGTCTTTACAGTCAGGATTGAAATGCCTGTACAATGACACTCTTAATCTATGGCTGCTTGGGAATTGCTAACTTGCTTTGGCTTGCCCTTTTTACCCTTGTAGCTCAGTAAGGAAATGAGTTCTGGGAAAGCTATACAGTCAAATTAAAGTGTAGAAATCATTAGCTCTTGCCTAACATGGCTCTAGTTTATCACATGGCTGGCTGGTAGATGCTGAATGGATGTAGGAAGTGGTTAGAAACTGCCTTTGGTGATGTTCAAACGTGAAGCACATCTAAAAATAAAAATCTGTAAAGTGCTCTAAGGATGTTGGAAAACCAGCATGCATTACATGGGGTTCCTGGTTCAGATCCAGTTTGGGTTGCAAAAGCTGTGTGATATGAGGTCTGCAAAAGCCCTGTCTGCTGATATTTCTTGAAACATTTTCATGTGTGAACACTAGGAATAATTTAATCCCTTCCTTCATCTTAATTCCCGTGCTTGGTGACATAATCCTTGAGGATGTAACTCCTACTGATGGTTTGTCTTGGGGCTTCTCAACTGCAGGAGCGTTTATGCAAAATCCTTTCATTTCTATATTTAACCTATGTATCAGGGGCTGTCAAATTTTCCTGGTGTTGTCAATATTTATTTTCCTGCAAATTTACCTGTGAAGTATTTTGGTGTACCTATGGGCTGTGTGTGTAATTGGAAGAAGAGTTGTGGGGATCAAGGGGAAAAGAAGACAATGATTTTCTACACTGTGCATACTTAAATGTTTACAGACCATTCACTGATTTTTCAAATGACTCTTGGGTTTATAGTGTCAAATACTTTCATTTGACTGGTGAACTATAGGCATGCAGGGAAAATCAGTCCCTAGATGTCTTGAATACCAAATATGGCTGCTGCTTCTCTGGAAGGACATGGACTTGCAAAGATGCAATTTATTGGTTTGTGCATTGATTATGTGCACAGTTGCAGTGAAAATTTTTATCTTTAGCCACTCTTCACCAACACCCTTCCTCCCCCCCCAACTTGATATTTAAAATAAATTTAATGTTCATATTTTTATGAATATCTTTTATTTCTGCAGCAGTTAATTTGTGATGAAGGATAGCTTATTGTTACTGGTTGGAACTGGATTTAAAACTAGCTACATCAGCTGCAGACTACAATGGGTCTTAAAAAAACCTCGATGTAATCAAAAGTAAATCATTTGTTGTTCAGCCAACTGTGTAATAAGTAGGGAAGTAGTTTAGTTGGGGACAACAAGCAGAGAGGAAAAATAAATGAGACACGTAAGAATTTTTGAAGAAAATTTTCTGTTGTGGCATTGAAAAACAATTAGGGTTCCAGTCCTGCATCTTTTGTGCATTTGAGAAAGATGATAGAACTCAAAGGAACTTTGAGGAGAGTAACAGTTCCTAAGTTTAGTCAATAAAACACCACTAGTTTTAAAAGTTGTCTGCAGTTCTCTTCTGTGGTGGAAGAAATACCCAATGAGTGACTCGTCACATATGTGTCTTCAGGTTAGGGGTACGCAAATAATGATAACCCAGACTCTGCTTGTGCATAACTCTGTGTGAAACAAGTATATAATTCACTACCATTACCTGAATCAATGAAATTCAGGTTGTATGTGGGAAATGCAGTTGCTTGCCTTTGGGAGTCTGCTCGAATTTTGTTCTTTTCTGTTTAAAAGCATGTATTTTAGCTTTTTTTTTCAGTTAGAGTTTGTTTGACGTAAGATTTATTTTAAAGGGGTTCTTCTCTTTATGGAAGCTGGATTCTTGGTATTCATTTAACTTCGGTCAAATTTTAAGATTGTGCAGAACAGCAGAGGATTCACATACCCCAGAGAAATTTTATTTCTGAAACTGCAAGGCTGTGACTAAACAGTGAGCTGACTTCTCTTTTTGCTTACTTCTACTTGCATTGATGAAATGTCATATAAGTCAGTAGGAAAAAATCCTTATATTGTGTAAATTTTCATATTTATTGAGACAACTGGAAATGTTCTGTTCGTATGTGCCTTATGTCTCAAAGGAAGAAAATCAGACCAAGTGAATATCATGTTTAAGTAACATCTGATTTTAATCAGGACTGAGGTTGGTTGACTTTTTTTTAAGTTATTAAATCTAGTAAGTCATTTGAGGATAAGTATCACCAATTTCTTTTTTTCCTTCTCATGGCTACAAGATGCCCTAAGCAAAGCTCTGTTCACCTGAAGAATGTAATTTCAAAAGTAGTTGCCTGAATTGCACACATAATGCAGTTACTATTTATCTCTTTTTTTCCCCATTTGAGAAAATAAAAATCTGCTTTTATGTGGCAAGTACTATTCTTGCTTTTCATCTGAATTGCAAAAAAAACCAACACCCCAAAACCAAAACAAAATCAACAAAAAACACACAAGAAAATAAATCCATTAAAAAAGAATTTTAAATTTGAAATGTCTGAAAGAACTGCTTATGGCCAGATTTGGGCTCAGTGCAGTATCAGTACTGCACATGCAGATAGGAATTATGATGATTATACCAGCCGACCAGGCAGTCTGCTCAAGTGAGAATACATACCTTTGAGAGGGTTGAATAATATGGCATTTTTCTTCTGTATGTGGCTTGATGCTATAGTGCATGTGAAACATTAAGCTCCTATATAGAAATCTTATCAATTTGCAATGACAACCTTTTTAATTGAGGTGATGTAGTAGGTATTAGATAAGGAAGAAGATAGTAGCTGTATTAAGTGCACTTCAGTGTTAGTGTCTAATGCTGTAGCTAGTTGGGGGCCAGTGCAGGTTATCTAGTTGCCATGACAAGGTCAGTTAAAATGTGATAAAAACTTTATTGCCCTGCCTACTCAAAAGTGCTGAACAGTGCTGTTGTGTGGGTGAGGATGTCACTTTGGACCCAGGATTGTTAAAACAATAGTCAGGATATCTGTATAGCTTAGAGAGTATGCATCTTAAAAGAGCTAATATCCTTAAATAAGGTTAGCGTGGTTATATTTGTTCATGTTCATCTTGTCCATCTATGTGTGTTTTCAGCAGTGTCTGTAAATAGTCTTCTGCTTAAACAATTTGAATATAGAATGGAAATGGAATGCACAGATATTTTTATATAGTGTGTAAAAAGCTTGTCAGAAATGCTATTACTGGGAGGATTAAACTCCCAGCTGAAACGTGAAACAAAGAATTATTTGGGCTGCAGCTGTTTTGAGAAAAAGAAAACAACAAAACACTAACCCAGTTCTTTGAAGCCCTCTGTGGTTTAGAAAACCTAAATAGCACGTTTCCCATACGAAGAATGTTATACCCAAGTAATCCTGAAATGTACAGTGTAGATACTGATTTTAGCTACTACATTAATACAGGGTGGTGCACTGAATACATTTAATCTTTTGGTCACATGAACAAATGTTTTGTTGTAATGTTAGAGTTTTGACAAAAAAAATGATGTGCATTTGTATTAGTAAAAGATTGACTGGCCTTTTGTCAAAAGTTTGTGCAAAATTTTTATCCAGTCATTGTACCAAATTTTACACTCTCCCCAGGCAAGCCATATACTGTTTGTAAAATTCCAGTCTAGTACTCAGTTGGCTTCTAGTCTTTTACAGTATAATGAAGTGTTCATTTTTTAATTTTATTTTTTTTAGGTCTTTCAAGTTGCATATGTCATCATCAAAGCTGCTAATGCTCCACGACCTGGAAACTGGATTTTGGAACGCTCCATAGATGGCACAGAGTTCAGACCATGGCAGTACTATGCAATTAGCGATACTGAATGTTTAACTCGTTATAATATTACGCCAAGAATTGGGCCGCCAACTTACAAGAGAGATGATGAAGTGATCTGTACCTCCTATTATTCCAGACTAGTTCCCCTGGAACATGGAGAGGTATGTTTGGATTTGCACTTGGGGTTTGTGAGTAAGAACATGGACCAATAGCAATTGGAAAACATCTGGATCACAGTTACAGAGTTCATTACCCTCAACACTACTAGATGATCTGTTATTCTTCTTTAATGATATTATCTTTACGGCATGTACCAGTATAGCAGACTTTTAAATGTTGGGATGAGACATATCTTTGACTCTATCTATTCCTGTTCCTGAACTCTTCGTTCTCTCTCTTTCTAATTTGACAGTAGCTATTAGCTATGGATTATCAATTGCTTTATCCTGAAAGACTATAGCGGAGGCTCCATGTTTTGCCAGGTTTTTCATTTAATAAAGAAAACCCATGTGTTAGGAACACCTGGTTGTGTGAGATAAAGCTGCAAGCATTGTTGAAATGTTCAGCACAGCTGGAACTCCTAAACAAGCTTTGGCATTGTTTCAGGGATGTAGCATAATTAAAAGAACTACAAGTTATGCAGCCTCACTGTTAATTGTTCTTTCTTTTAACAAACTCTATTCATAGCACTTGTGGAATTTGTTGCACAGAGGCAGCCACATAATGAAATAACACGTGAAACCCAGTGGTTATTCTATAAATGCAGTGTTGTCTCATGGAGAATGCTAATAACTCTTAGCTTAATAGAAGCCAATATTCTTTTATTTCTTGGTTAAGAAAAGACTGGAGTGTATGCAGTTAAGGGTTGGAGTGTGTCAAACTTTCACATAAACTTAAAACTATGTTTCAGCAAGGAAAGAACAATGATATTAAGTAACATCAAGTCACATGCACTTTAATAAAATGTGTTTTTGCAGTGATGTAAGCATATGCCCCACAGATCGGATAGAACAGACAAAGAAACTTAACGTATCTCTTCATGCAATTAACCAGGGAAAGCCTTAGTTGGACCCTCTATGAGCAGTGCCTCTTGTAATGTATGTCTAATAGGCCATATACCTCCAAAACCCAGAATGCTAGAGATTTAGTGACTTTTTTTCTCATCTATTTTTCTTGATGTACACAGAATTAATTGGGTGACACTATCCAGAACATTGCTTTTTCTTCCTGAGTGCAGTAATGTAAAAATATAAGAACATAAAATGTGGCAGAATTAGACTGCTGTGCACTATGTAGTATTGTGGAATCATTTAGGTTAAAAAAGACCTTTAAGATCATTGAGTCCAACTGTAAACTTAACACTGCCTAACACCTAAACCACCACTAAACTATGTCCCTAAGCACTACAGCTACACCTCTTACAAATACCTCCAGGGATGGTGACTCAACCACTTTGCTGGGCAGCCTGTTCCAGTGCTTGACAACCCTTTCGGTGAAGAAATTTTTCCTAATATCCTATCCAAACCTCCACTAGTGCGACTTCAGACCATTTCCTTTTGTCCTATTACTTGTTACTTGGTGGGAGAGGATGACACCTGCTTTGCTACAACCTCTTTTCAGGCAGTTGTAGAGAGAGATAAGGTGTCCCCTCAGCCTCCTTTTCTCCAGGCTATACAATCTCAGTCTCCTCAGCTGCCCCTCATAAGACGCTTTCTCTCAACCCTTCACCAGCTTTGGTGCCCTTTGGACAGGTTCCAGCACCTCAGTGACCTCCTTGTAGTGAGAGGCCCAAAACTGAACATGAGATTCAAGATGTGGGCTCATCAGTGCTGAGCACAGGGGCCGGTCCCTTCCCTGGTCCCGCTGGCCACATTGTTTCTGATCCAGGCCAGGATGCTGTTGGCTTTGTTGGCCCCATGGGCACTCTGCTGGCTCATGTTCAGCCAGCTGTCCACCAGCACCTCTGGGTCCTTTTCTACTGGGCAGCTTTCCAGTCACTTCTCCCCAAGCCTGTAGCATTGTTTGGGATTGTTGTGACTCGGGTACAGGACCTGGCACTTGGTATTGTTGAATCCAGTCCTTAGCTCATTGATCCAGCCTGTCCAGATCCCTCTGTAGAGCCTTCCTACCCTCGAGTAGATAGCACTCCTGCATACAAGCTGGCAGTCACAAAGGACAGGTTGCTCCTTCATAGCTGGAATGGCAGACAGGAATATTCCCTGCACAGAGTATCTCACAACCCATATTAGCAAATCTTGGAACACTTTTGAAAATACAAATATTTAGTGCTTTGTAATTGATTCTGGCCAACATATTGAACTTAAATATGGGGCTATAGGAAATTCTGCAGGTCTTGTATCCAGCACTTGTTATCATCCCAATGTTCTACAGTCAGTTTGTAGTGTGCAGGTGTGAAGGAGCTGTTAGGGTAAAAAGACCACATGTCTGAATATCACTTTTTTGCCAAATCAGATATTTTGCCAGTTTGCCTGCTAGATTTTTCACAACTTTGAAGAATTATAGCTGCTCTACTGTAAAGCTCTGTTGTTTGCTTGATTTATACTGCTTGAAGATCTACTTAGAGAAATTCACATAATGCAGTCAGGGCTCATGATGAATTCCAAGGCCTAAACTACAGTTTGGAAATGGTCTTGGATTATGGAGGAAAAGTAAGCCCAAAATATGTATTACAAACATATTAGGATATATAAGCAATATATTAGCCAAATATAGCAGTGTACATAGGGAATGATTCTTTTTCTTCCCTGGTGTCTTAGTCTCTATTCCTACTGTTTTTTCCTTTGCCTGCTAGGAAAGATACCTCTGTTGTCTCTATAGAAATTATAGCGTATTGTTACAGAATTTCTACTGGTCAAGCCAGCGGTTAATGTTGGAGTAAAAATGTGAATGTTTCACATTTCATTGCTTGAAGGCACTGTTCTTGAGTAGAGAGAGTGTGTATTTCCAGGGAATTGGAGATTTAGGTAGGGAAGATTACGTAAAATGAAACTGCATCTGTCACACAGGAAGTAAGGCCAAGGGTTGTAACAGGCTTTTTTGGATCTTTAAATCTCTGGATCCTAAGTGATAAAGAGGAAACATATCATGCTAGAACTCCTCATGCCATGAGTGGGTCATGCTATCTTTGTTGTAAAAATCAAAGGATTGCACTGAGCCCAGCAAATTCTATGTCTGTAGTTAAGGGTTAATGAGAGTAGGACATGGTGTTCCATGCTAAAATTGGGTTTATCTATAATGAGTAATACTTTTTTTTGTGGGCTTGGGTTTTTTTTCAGTGGAAGTAGCGTGATATTTGAACGTTAACCAATGATTCTGCCATGTAATTCCCAGCAGAAAACATGACTTTTAAATGAATATTTGGAAGCCATTTGCCTTGGGGAGAACAGACTGAGATGAGATGGGCATGCTCAGTCTTCAGTTGTATTAAACATGGGCCCAAGGAGGAATAATCTGTTCTGCATGTCTGTGACACAATGGAAGAAGTGGTGTGATACCCAAGAAAAATGTGGTTTAGAGATTAGGAGCACTTCTAACAATAAAGCCAGAAAGAACTGGGAAAATGGATGATGGTTAGTTTCTGAATGGACTATCAGAAAAGTGGAATTCTTGAACACAGTATACTCGAGTATTTACACAGAATGGTGGTAACCCATGAATGGCAAAATTATAATGTTGAGAGTGTGAATTCCATTACCAGTTTCTGTTTGTATGTCTTTGAAATAGCAAAATTACTGTCTAGGTAAAGTCTCTAGCTCCACTACGGAATTAAGATTTTTTTTTTTAAAAAAAAATAATAATAAAAAATCTTTAATATTTAGAAGTATTTTCAGAGGAACAATTTCACAGTACTAGACAAAGGTGAAACTACAAATTAAAGAATAGTACAAGAGACAAAATTGCTCTTCATAAATGAAGTTATGATAAATGCCAGCTACTGTAAAATGTAGCTGACAAGCCCAAAGCATGAGCACTTGTTTGTTGTGAGCACCATGTGAACTGTTTAACATTTCTTTCTGGCCTGTAGGGTTTCATTTTTTGTTTTCTTCTGTAAAATGGAGCAGGAACCACACTGTCATGTGAGACTAAATCCCTCTCTGCTGTTAAGTTGCTTTGAAAAGAAGGAAGGGACTGTTGCCAGAAAAAGTTTTGCAGCTTGACACCAGAAGCTGTCTCAGTGGGGCCAGTGTGAGAAAGGCCACATAGGCTGGTTTGTGGTGGCAGCTCCTTACTTTCAATTGTCATCTGTGTTGTGTCTTCCCACTGCACTTTCATATCAGCGACTACTCTTTGATATCTGAGCAGCCCTGTCCCAGCAAGGCATGGGGTACTGACCCCAGATTGAGCATGTATGCCATGTTATATCTTGAAATAAGATCTTTACAAATTGCCCAGGAGCTGAACTTGTGGCCAGAGTTACATGTTCTGCATCAATAAGGGAGAGGCCGGAAGACTACAGGAACCAAGGAGTAGCTTGTGGTACCATCTCTATGGTATTTCCACAAAAGTCTAGGAAACTTGAGACTATGAATGGGCTTAGAGTGGTGATTTCAGAACTGTGTGAGTCAGGAAGCAGGAATTCTACCTGCAGGTAGAGGATGGGGAAGAAAAAAGAATTCCAGGTAATCTAACATCTTTCCATCCTAGGTTTTTGCAAAACAAGCTTAAGTTCTATGGTTTTAATTCTCACTGTATTTGTTGTTGCAAATGAATCACAATTACGTTTATGATTAAGCCAGTCCCTCTTTCTAGATTCACACATCACTGATCAACGGTAGGCCCAGCGCTGATGATCCTTCACAAAAGCTTTTGGAGTTTACTTCTGCACGATACATTCGCCTACGACTGCAGCGTATTAGAACTCTCAATGCTGACCTCATGACTCTCAGCCATAGTGATCCTAAAGAACTAGACCCTATTGTTACCAGGAGGGTAAGCTGGTTGCTTGTAAATGGTATTCAGTATGACTTGATGGGAGAGCCTTTTCTGATCGAAGAAAAGCTTTGTGAATTGTGTCTTTATTGATTTTGAAGACTTTATATCCAGTCATTGATACCAATTGTGTTTAGTTTCATGTACATTGTTCCCTAAAAGAATTGACATGTAACTGTTGAACAGCACCTATATTTCTGTATTCTATTTATTTATTTATTTATTCATGTAGCATTTGATTAGCATTTGTCTCCTGTTCAACTTCAAACTACACACAGCTACTGTCAGTTTTAAGAAAACAAGACAAAGGAGATGAAGCAGGGAATACAGTGAGAAATACAAACATGCTTTTGTCCTCAATCTACACCTCCTCTGTAGTTAAGGACCTACTGTTCATAAGTCCCTAACATTAAAAAAATACTAAAATACTAAACATAATTAAAAAAATTAAACCATAAAAAATTAGCTATGAAATCAAAGAGGCTGTTTTGCTCCAGCTCCAAGATTCTTTAAAGAAATAACAGTCCAGGAGTCAGCATGTCTGACCACCCAGGGCCACCTCCTCTTCCTGAACCAGATGACTGTAGGGTTGTTAGGTCTGAGAGTCTTGAACTCTTTCCTTAGAAGTGTCCTCAAAAAGTGTTTCTTTTCCATTTCCCTGCAGTACATACTTCCCAGGATACAAACAGGCCAACCATGTTGATACTGCAGCTGTAACTGAACCCAGATGGTCATTTCCTGCCTCTTGCTTGCCTTGAAAATTAAATTCTTTCCTTATGTATGTTGCTTTTGCTCACCACTGGCAATATTAATGGATTGTACTCTGCTGTATCACCAGTTTTTAAGCTAAGAATTTGGATAGAATAATACAGCAAAGATCTGGTCTGGAATCAAGAGCATAAACTGGTTTTAAGGGAAGGCAGAGTTCCTGTTTTAAGAAACCATACTCTTATCCCTAGACTGAAATGAAAATGTAGAACTTGTTATGCTTCATGTCTTCTTATAGGGTGAAAAAGGGATTTTTTTTTTTTACAATCAAATTTTTTGGGGGGGTTACGTTTGGTGGTCTTCCCTGAAGCGGAAGAACTGTGCATATTTATTGAAAGTTCAAAGTCAGTTACTGTTTTTTACCAGTGAGGAAAAACACGTGGGGGGAAAAAAGTCTCAAAATGGAAGGCTTCCCCAAGTGGTGAAAGCTGAAAGCTTCTTTTATTTTCAAGTATTTATTTTCTTTTAAAATCCACAAATAGTCAAATGTTGGTATTTTATTTTCCAGAGAAAGGGGGGAAGATATAAATACATGTAAATGTCTGTCATTCATGCTTCTTTCATCTATGTTTTTTGCAGTACTACTATTCAATAAAGGACATCTCTGTTGGTGGCATGTGTATTTGTTACGGCCATGCTCGAAGCTGCCCTCTGGATGAAATTACAAAGGTATTCTTTAATCTCTTTATTTTCACAAAATGACTTTTCCAGTTTAAAAAAAAAAAAAGATTTTGCCTAAATGAGAAAGAGGAAACTGAAAGAGATCTTACGATATGGTGCACACAGTTTATTTGATATACTTTTTCTTCCTTTTCTGGGCAATCATACCTGTGTCTCTGGTAATGTAACTTTTTTGAAGTAACTCTTTGTCTTTTGGCATTAAATTTAAAGAGTTCAAGGAGCACAACAAGAAGTAGCCTCTCTTGCAATGCAGGGATTTATCCTTCCAGTTCTAGAAAGGCTGTTCCCCAGTAGTTGATACAGCAAGGTTGAGAAGTCTAATGCTAATTGTGGGGTTTTTGTGGGTCTTAACCTTTTTTGGTGTATGTCTGATATTAAGTTACCCATTAAAAAATACTTCAAGGAAGCAAATTGTTTATTCTTAGAAATTGCAGTGCCAGTGTGAACACAACACTTGTGGAGAGAGCTGTAACAAGTGCTGTCCAGGCTACCACCAGAAACCGTGGAGACCAGGAACCATTTCTGCTGGAAATAAATGTGAGAGTAAGTATGCGCAGAAGTTTAGATTGCTTTTTGTACAGATCTTTACTAATTCCCAAGAAAAATCCACAAACTAACTGTCTTCATGGGATTGTTAAAAGGTGGATTACTTACTTCTAATTATAACTTGCAAGGTAGTTTTAAATATTCTGTCCCAGTATGACCCTGTGACTAGTGGAATTGTCATGTAGTAAAGCTTTCTGAGTCTTTTTTGAAGAGACATGGAGATTTATTATAGTCTTTTAAAAACTAGCTTATTTGCATCAATCATTTTGTTAGCTACTCAAAATGCAAATTTCTAATGTTGATTGTAAATTTTGTCATATAAACAACTGTTCTGATAACAAGTGTGTTGAAAGAAACTCCTTATTGGCCAATTACATTTCAGATTGATAGATGGACTTAAGCTTTGCCATTATGGCTGAATGTGTTGCTAGGGCTAGTTTTAATACATTTTCTCTTTTCACATTGCTAATGCATAGCACAAACTGCAGACAGTTAAGAACCTATTAGATCAAATATACAGTTGCAAATGGAAAACTTGTCCTTTTAGTTGAAGTCTTTAATACAAGTCTTAATGCTACTCTTCAAAAATAAGTGTTTATGACTGCTTGGACTGATGTATCCTCTATTAGTTTTAAACTTGTTGTACTGGCATTGTTGACTTCTCAGACTTTTGTCTACAATACAAATAAGAGAATAATCAGGCAGGTTTTCTTCTATAATGAAGCGGACGGAAAATGAAAAAGCGGTTATTGCCAATAGCACATATCACTACCAATGTCAGTCCTGAAAGGATTGTTGTAGTGGGATCTATAGAATACTGTTAAAAGTGGTGCCATTAGGGTAGTGAAGTGGTTTTGAAGTGTGCTTACTTGCTAAGAAATATAGTGTATCAAGACTGCTGAATCATATACCTTGAAGGGGAAAAAACATACTTGAATTGATACTCTCTGTTACTTCTGTTTTCCACTTTGAAACATGTCAGTGTTATAGGAATGAAAAAAATGGATTTCTTTTTCTTCTCAGAGTGCAACTGTCATAACAAAGCAAAAGATTGTTATTACAATCAAAGTATTGCAGATGAGAAAAGGAGCATGGATATTCATGGCCAGTATGTAGGAGGTGGCGTGTGTTTAAACTGTACTCAGCATACTACTGGGATCAACTGTGAAATGTGTGCTGATGGATATTTTAGACCACACAAAGTAAGATTTGGAAAATACCATTCTGATGTTTTGGTGAATTACAACATGACAAGATGATGTGTATTTCTGCTGATTGTAATTAATGTGCATATATATTTTTATCAGTTGCAAAATTGCAAATATCTATAGAGTAGTTGAGGATTTTTTTATAAATGACATAACATGAAAATTTTCAGAGGAAAACAAAATGCTTGCCTGGTTGGTGGGAGGATAGGTTGAGATGTTGGAGAAAAAAAGTGTAAGTGCAGCTGAAACTTGAAATCCTAGTGTGAATGTTCTGATAGGAAACCCATTTCTCCTGTGGATAAAACTCTAAAAAGTGCCAGTACTGAAGTTTCAGTGTCTTCAGAAGTGCCAAGACTGTGTACTATCCTATATTGGCATATTTCAACTAATGTTAAAAAGGACCATTACATGGTTCTAAGATCAAACTCTTTTGTCTTTTGAGACATTGCGATAAATATTCTTCTTCTTGACATAGTTATTGTAGATCACATGCTTTTTGAGCCTGTGTACTTTCCAGATTATTGACAAATGTTGTTCTTTGAAAAAATGAACTAAACTTGACAAAAGACATTTGTTAAGATATGACTAAGTTGTGAACTTCCTGGAATGTTAGACGTCTCTGTATAATGAGACATACTGAACTAAATTTTGACTCCACAATGTCTTGCTTTGACAAGTTCATACGTATTTTGAAAACCCTATGCTTTAGAAATCTAGCATAAATTGGTGCAGAGGGCAAGGGTGAGTCTTTAGGAGCATGGTTAGACAGCAGGTACAGCTCATCCAAAGAAGTAAACTGGAGTCAGAGGTTTTCTGATTCACTTGCTATACGAAGTGTTGAGGAAAAGTCTTTAATCAACTTGTAGCCAATGAATGTGTATCTAGAGGTCATTACTGATTTACTTTTCATCTGAAGCTCCTCAAAGGAAAATTTTCCCTAAAAGAAAATAAAATCCTTGCCATAGGAATTACTTTGCCTTATATTTCAAAGGTGTATACATCATGAAGTCAGAATGAATTGTGAATAGATAATCTGTCCTCTCTCCTACTGAACACAGAGCCAAGGATTTCTTTTATTTCTTTCCTCTTTGAACAAGAGTATATTTGCAAAAAGCACCCATCCTTGTCTTAAACATTTTCATAATCTTTGGCAAACCGTCACAGTAATTGCTGTTATATTAAAATGTCTATATATGCTGAATGTGTCGAGCTTCAGCTTTGAGCCATTAGCTGTTACTGCAACTTTGTCTGTGCTGTTAAAGACCGAATTTTGTTCCCACATTTAAGTTTTCTCTGGGCTGCAACCTCCTGATCTTCTGTTTGCTAAAGTAAAGCTAGTCCCTTGATTATTACTGCATATTAAATTTTCTGGTCTTCATTCATGTTAGTTCCAGTGATCCCAGAGAAGAAACAGATGTAACTTTGCTTTTCCCAGTTAATAATTTGAGAATTTGACAGAGAATTTTTGTTTTGCAGGTTTCTCCCTATGAAGATCACCCCTGCTATCCCTGTGACTGTGACCCGTTTGGCTCTCTAAGTTCTGACTGTGTCAAAGATGAGCACCATTCTGACTCACAGCATGGCAAGGGAGACTTTTCTCTAAACTTCAAATCTGGTTATATTTCTGGTTATTAAATTTTGAGGGAACACTATCTACTTGTGAATGGCTGCCAGTTAGGTCCCACCTCAAAACAATGGTTAATATTTAGGAAGGAGAGATGAGGTGTAACATGCTTATAGGATTTTATGGTAGGTCAGGTTGCTGAATATATTCCTGTGTGGGGATGGTGGGCTCTGACTCTGTAATGCAATGTGAAGAATTGAGAAGTAACATTGTTCTTTTTGAATGCTGTTAAAGCTGTCAATCTGTTTTGCCTCAATTTCTATGTGTCTGTTACTCTAAACATGAAAAAACGATGGCGAGACTGACATTATGCCAAGTATTTGTGTGGAATGTAACATGGAGTGTAATAAAGGAATGCTAAATTACTTGTTCTCTGAGACATCTTGAATCTAGCCTACTGCGTGCTCTTATTTATTTAATTTTGTGTTTTTGCTTTTCAAGGGACTTGGCCAGGTCAGTGTCAATGCAGAGAAGGTTTCACAGGAGAAAAATGTGATCGTTGTGCGTTTGGATATCGGGGCTATCCAAACTGCCTGCGCTGTAACTGCAGCCTGATTGGTAGCATTAACGAAGATCCGTGCACAGAACCTTGTCTTTGCAAAGTGAGTATTTGACTGTCATTGTGATTTATAATTGAATCTGCTACTTGAATTGTAAACTTCTTAAAAAAGGAAAATTACTTAATGCACTGCGGAGATCTTTTTTGTAAATGTACATCGGACAACGTAGAACTTAAAATTACTATCCTCTGTACTAAAAAATTTGTTAATTTATGTTAATTAGTTCTGTATGTTACTGATACACCATTTTCTATAATAATGGGCCGGACTGACATTTAAATCAAATAACTGTACATGTGAATGTGAGGGAGAATCACATGACAGGATGCATAGTTGGGCTCGTTTTTAGGGGTGAGCTGATGCTTCTCTTCAAAGTCACTGATTTCTTGTAAAGAAAGTATGTATATATAACATCTACTTTGTATGAGGAAACAGCATGCATTTGGAAAGAACTACTGGAACAATTACATTAGATGTATGTATGAAATATGATTTAGTTATTTGATTATAAAATAAACCATAACAAATCTTAAAGAAAAGAGCAGTTTTGCAGCCTTCTGTATTTTCTTGGTAAATATCCAAACCCCTTGAAATATCTTGCAGCTGCAGATTCGGCTGAACTTTTATTATAAAGCTATATCAATATTTAAAGAAGTTACACTTAATTTTCTGAACCAAATGTTAGCTAGTAGTTTATGTGTTTGTTGCCAAGTATGATAGTGAACAGGAGCCAAAAAACCCCCGTGGTTTGTCTGACAGTTTTTCTTAAGCTTCTTACTCTTTGTACATGATTTATTTGATACAAAGTATCAGACCAGAGTTTGATAGATGTAAATAACCAGAGTCTGGAAGAAAGAAATAGCTCCAGTAGCCAATTTCAACATGAAAAGGAGATAAAGCCATTTTGCCTGGTTTTGAGCTAGAGTAACACTATATTATCTGATGCAGCTGACTAGTGAAAATTTTGGTATAAAATGGACAAGAAGTTGTTCCCTTTCAGTGCTGTTCTGGGCACAAGCCTGGTGTAGAGAGTTTTTAGGGCAGATCACTGAGAGTGTCACCATGCAGCAGCCCACTTAAGGAGGTGAAAGGAGGGAGGGAGAAGAATTGTGGGCTCCAAATATCACATGAAGGAAACAGGATTTCTAAATGTATGTAGTCTCTGTGAACACAGTAGTGCAAACTACTGCTTTTCATGTTCTGAATTTCATACTTGATCTCTTGTGAAACACGATTCTTGAGGTCTGTAACAGTCATTGCATAAGGTTTTTCTTTTTCAAAAAGGACTGAACAATAATTTTTGTCTAATAATGTTACAGAGACAAAGTGAATTGTGTGATCCAAGTGCATCCTGAAGACTGTGCAATTAAAAAAAAAATGAAGAGAGTGTACAGATACTATTTCTGTAAAAAGACCAAGATTTCAAAATCTCATATCTCAGGATATGCTTTGCCTGAGATTTTTCTTAGGTTTGGATATTAACAAATGGAAAGCACTCATCCTCAGCCTTTGAAACAGAGCTCTGGGGATCATAAATTTTTCCCACGGTTTGCAAAAACATTTTGTACTTTGCTTACAAAAGCACATAGCTTACCTGTTTAGAGTGGTCTTATATAAACTTGACGTGGCAGACACTGGTCCAGAAGAAGATACAGTTGGTAGTGTTGCCACCAAAGATCTCAGGTTGAAATTTGTTCCATGAGACCAAGCTGATGTAAGTCTGGAATTTGGAGTGATTCTCTTAGCTGGAGTGAGGTTACCCTAGTAACTGCTTCTGAAAGCAGAATTTGGTCCACAGGCCTCGCATCAAGTTGCAATGCAGAGCTCATACAGGCCTCGTCAAAATAGCAAGACAGGTTTGCTTCACTGTATGTCCTGCAGTCCTGGCCGATGTCCTAACCACATGTACCAGGGAACTTTGTGGGCTACTCTGTAAAGTTCTCTTTGCCTTTCTAGTGAGGTTTTCCCATAGTGGAAACTAAAGGTTGAGAGGAGGGAGTGATGTGTATCCAAGAACTTGTCCTGATATGGAGCTAGGACATGATTAAAATCTTGACTTTGGCAGCAGGAAATGTTCTGTATCTGGCTGTGTAGAAATGCCTGCAGAGATCTACTATTTGCACAGCTTCATGGGCATTTAGCAGACATTTTCCCTACTGGTGTGCTTGTCAGCAGCAATTGCCTAAACTTTTAGAGTAAATAATTTTGTATTGTCTGTACAAATTTTACAAGAAAAAAAAATATGGTGCAGTGTTTGGGCTTTTTTTTTTTTGGTTGTTTCCCCTGTAAATTCTACATTAGAAGAGCTGTATATTCTAAACTACCCAGTTTGCATGGTAAGAAGGCAGCAGGCCAGTGGCAGGACCTAAAAAAGTAGAGAACGTCTACTTTCAGAGCAGGAGTTTCTGGACCTTACCCAGAGTGTGTTAGGAGGAAGAGCTGGCAGCTACCACAAGTGTATGTGGTATTCCTCTAGGGAGAGATGGCAGCAGTGGTGGGGCTCATAATAGACAGCTGAAGAAAAATTGTCCTGAAGCTGACTTTGGTAGCTCCAGGAGCCTGACCTTAAAGGTGAGCTATACTGTATGTAGGCTATCTGGATTCAGTAAACATGGAAAGATTTCTCCAGAGCAATCAACAGATTCAGGCTATGAGAGAAGTGGACTGGCAAGCTAGCAGAAACTTTTCAGACCCTGCCTTTTTTTTCTACAACAGAGCCCTTGCTAGGGAGTGTTTAGATTTTGATGAACTGGCAAATTCTGATGAATTTTTCCTATAACTTTCTGAATGCTGTAATGTCTAAATCCCATCTAATCCACTATATTTGTTACCATAATAATGTTGATGTGAAACAAATGTTATATGCCATTAACAGGAAAATGTAGAAGGTGAAAACTGTGATTTCTGTAAACCAGGATTCTACAATTTACAAGAAAGAAATCCTCAGGGCTGCACAGAGTGTTTCTGCTTTGGGGTTTCTGATGTCTGTGACAGCCTAACATGGCCCATCAGTCAGGTATTTATAAATTATGTCCATGATCTAATATTCTTTCTTCAGGCAGCTGCAAAATATACTGTATTTCTCTCTGACATGTGCCCAAGTTAATTCCGAATTCTGGCATGTGCCTCCTTATGGAGGAATGTATTTTCATTGTCATTTGGCGGCTCTGAGGTACTCAGCGTGTCACCCAAACGCAGACTTTGGCCACTCCGGCTTGCAATAATAACAGAAGCACTGTGTAGTGGAGACCGTGTTAATGCACTGGAATAATGCTTTTTATTTTTCCTGACCTTGTGCTGTTAAAGTTTTTTTGCATACTGAAGAGATGAATCCAAACCCGTTTCCTTGCTCTCACACCTACTAGGCAAGGCAAGAGTGACCTCTGACAGTGTTAATAATATTCTATCTTAGAAAATAGAGTTGTTGTAAATATTACTGCTTTCCGAATAGCCATTTCTTGAGTTAGGGGCTTTTGGGGGACACTTTTTCCCCCAAATTGCTTCTGTATCTTTGCAGAACTACTCACACTTTAGCCTCCTGTTCTGTGTGCTTATAAAAAGAGAGGAAAGCACGTCAAATGGACTGAAATTCTAAGATGCTGATATAAATTCCTTCCAGTGAGAACAAAGTTCCCTCATCTTTCTCCCTCTTCTGGGACTGTGTATTCTAACTTTCCTCCAGCTCAGCCCTATCTATAAATTAGAACGATAGTCCTCAAAGCCTTTGAAGTTCTTTAATTCTGTTTCATAGAATTATGTGGTGGTAATGATAATTTTATTGGGAAGATAAAAATCACACTCATGTTTTTGTTCCTGTCTAATAGAGAGGTAGAGACAACCCTAATCTGAAGTGACATATTTGTATGTATTGAATGTCAGACTGGACTAAGAAAGTGTTAAAGATCTGTCAGTTTGAATCGATATCTAGGGAGGAGCTACATTTAGTGACTGCTTGCTTAATGACACAAAACTTGACTCCATTAATATTACTGTTCTTTCTTGCAGGTATCAGACATGACTGGATGGCTTGTTTCTGATCTGTATAATGCAAGGAGCGTGCAACCTCAGCGAAGCCAATTTGATGGACCCCGTCAAATAAGTATTAACAACACTGATGCTGTGAAAGTATTGAAACATACTTATTACTGGTCAGCACCTGAGACTTACCTAGGAAATAAGGTAAGTTCTCAGTTAGATCCAAAACTCCTTCATAGTTTCTCTATTTTAATCATAATGTATTGCTCTAAATGTGTAGTTTCTGTAATAAAAATTACACATAGTCCTCAATGTTACCAGACTTCTCAACCTGTCTCTGCTCTTCAAATCATAGTATTCTGGTGAGACATTTCCAGTACACTCTTCTTGCTCTTTGAGCTCATTCGCCTCCCTACTGCCTTCTCTGCCAGTCCTTGATACAGTATAATCTTTTTTCTCTTGACTGTTACTAATTTACATGCTCACATTCCCCACACTCTTGGCTCCTATCCCAAAGCTTACACTCTTTTAATTTTTGCCCTGGTTACTACCTAAAGCTCTGAGTCTCTCAATTTTTGCAGCAGAATCACAGAATAGTTGAAGTTGGAAGGGACCTCTGAAGGTCATCTTGCCTAGCTTCCCTGCTCAGGCACAGTCACCTAGAGCAGGTTGCCCTGTGCAATGTCCAGAGAGCTGCTTCTGAGTATCTGAAAGTATGGAGACTCCACAGCCTCTCTGGGCGACCTGTGCCAGTGCTCAGTCGTTCCCATGATTAGAAAGTGTTCCCTGATATTCAGAGGGAATCTCCAGTGTTTCAGGTTGTGCCCTACTCTTTAACTTGCTTTGAAGTAGTTGGCAGTGGGAGCTTGAAAGGAATGTGATTAGCTCCAACATGCTGTGCCCCTTGGCTGGGACAGTAGCATGTAAACCTCTGCTGTTTGTTCAAAATCCTGTAGGTGTTTCACGGAACGAGGGCACTTCTGAATAATCTGTAGAGCCTTCAGCGAGCTTTTCCCACCTGAACAGCAACAATCCAGTGCTTCTCCCTGTGCTGATACACACAGCACACTAAATTTTCCCTGGAAAGTGGTATTTGTAAGTCATGTACTCCTATAATTTGGACATTGTACTGTCACATGTCACTTCTTTGTGTTGGCTGGAGGTTATTGTGTTGTTAAGATTTGGCTTTTTGTTATTTCAGCTCACCGCTTTTGGTGGAAACTTGAAGTATACAGTATCTTACGACATTCCAATGGAGAGTGTGGACAGTGATATAGTATCTAGTGTGGATGTCATCATTCAGGTGAATTTTTTTCAGCTTGCTAGTGTTTAAATGTTATTAGTAAACTATGAAGGGGTTAAAAAAGGAGAAGAAAATAATATCTGTAGTAGTAGCTTAGTCAATTTTAGAACTCTTCTTAAAAGTCACTGCTAAGATTTTGTTACTACTACTTTCTGTTTTTCTAATCCGTTTGTCTGAAATTGTAGGTATACAATACTAGTTTTAAACGATAACTAAAATTTAACCTATATGTGCATAGGTGAGGTGTTTGTTAACAAACAAACAAAGCTATGTTTACAAAAGAAACTAGAATAAACTGGAGATACTTAGAGTTATGAAACAAATGAATGTTCTTGCTGATTGCTTGCTTTTCTGGATTCATGTTGCAGTTGAGAGGTAAGGCTCTATAATGAATCCAGGTATCTCCAAAAAAGCATTTTTACTTAGCAATAGAACAAAGAAGAAAAGAGATTCTGGTTTTGTAGAGGAGTTTGATTTTTGAAATTTAATTTAATTCTTTTTTCCAAAGGCAAATCAGGTATTTCTGAAGTCTCTGAACCAAAAAGAATGGGATTGTGTCTTCTGCAGCCATTTTTCTAGTGCGAGAAATACAGTTTCATTGCCTCTTCTCCAGATGTATATCTGACACTAAATGTAATTGCTTTTAATAAAATTTGCTTGCAAATATGGGAAATATTTTCTCTGTCTTTTGATTTCAGGGTAATGGGCAGATTTTGAGTACGAGAGCAGCAGGCTTGTCATTACAGCCATATGAGGAGTACTCTAATGCAGTGAGACTTGTATCAGAGAATTTCATAGACTTCAATACAAAAAAAGCTGTAGATCGGGAAAGGTTAATGACTGTTCTGGTAAACGTGACCCATCTTCTGATCAGGGCCAACTACAACATTGCCAGAAAAGCCATATACAGGTAAGGGAGAGAAAACATTCAAGTTAATCTATATACTTTTATTATTTTTGTGCATATGAAACACTATTCATAGTAGCAGTATTCCTTAAATTTTACATTAATAATTTCTATTAAAAAACCATTTTTTCATTGAATTTTCTCAAGACCAATCTTGTCCCCAAAATGCATTCATGTGGAGTCTGTGGAAAAGGGCAATTTGGTTGTTTTAAAGATTCATGATAGCAGAAACCTTCCTTTCTGCTTTGAAGGACTACTGCATAAAAGCCTTATTACAGTGGCTGCATTGTTAGAGGGAAATACCGCTGAAACTCTCAACAGTATGCTTATTTTGGTATGTGGCAAGTTAATCCATCACTGACTATTGAAAACTTGCCAATAAAGATGTTGTCTGTAATTACTTTTAATGTTTGTTTGTAGATGTTACTGATGCTCATCTCTAAGGGAGTGCTTAATAGGAAAATTGAGCTAGAACTGGTCCTTCCTGGAACACTTTCTGCTTGGAAGTGTTCAGGGCCAGGCTGAATGGGGCTTTGAGCAACTGAGTCATGTAAGGTGTCCCTGTCCTGGTAGCAGGGGGTTGCAACTAGATAATTTTTATGGTCCCTTCCAACCCAAACCATTCTACGGTTCCATAGTCTTGTTGGCATGAGTGGTACCTGCGTCACACCTTGCAGATTGCTGTTTTACTTGTTCTCCAAGATCGATAGGAATAAAGTCTTACCAAAGGAATCAGTTCCAGTGCTTCATCATTTACTTACTTAACTCGCTTAGTCTTACCATTAGCTGTTCTTTCTCATTGGCTAATTTGGTAGAATTTCATGTCAGTAATATTGAACTTGATACTAAATCTGTTTTGTACACTTGAGGTGTGGTGATACTTGCGTCCATGTATGGATAGTGTGTTCAGCTTCCTGGAATGTTTGAAAAGATTTGTTTAAATCATTTCACCAGTGGCTGAAAAGACTGCTACAAAGTGCCGTTGTTTGTAGTAAGGAGTTTTGCTTTGTTCTACTGTGGACAGCACCAATGAACTGATGCTATTTCTCACTACTTGCCACTTGGAATATGTATCTATGGTGAGGTCAAGCTATTGTATTACAGGACAGCAAGAGGAGGCTGCCCTACTAATGCACCTATAATACCATGACAGAGGCTTTCTTTAAACCTCTTCACAGGAGAAAAGACAATGGTAGTAACAATAATGGAGGTCACATCTCTTCCCAGAACTGCAAATGCAGTGATAAGACTATGATCATAGTCTTTTTCACAGCAGACGTTTGTGCCTCTTCCTCATCTGTCACTGCCAGGGAGCAGCACTTACCAGTGTTATTCCCTTAAATATAGAATGAGTGATGTGATATTTTCGTGCTTGATCCTAGGCTGGACTCTGTGACCCTGGATACTGCAAGTGCAAATGTTATAGATCTTTCTTCAGCACCAGATGTGGAATTCTGTGAATGTCCTCAAGGTTACACAGGAATATCCTGTGAGGTAACCTCTCAGTGTTTTATGTATGCAAAATTAACTCCTGTCTGAAAGGATCTAAGTTTTAAAGGCAGACCGTCTTTAATTATACTGCTGTAGAAGTATATGTTCTGTGTTGAAATACTGTCCACTATACAGTGCACAATGCTGTAGATATTTTTCTAGGTACACTAAAGGGGATTTTAAACTTATTTCTTCAATTCTATTTGGTAGCACTAAAAGATAATGATACACTTTAGGTATCAGTGTTGCAGAGGGAGCTGCTGTAAAAGCTCTGTGAATTTCTTTTGAGCTTACCTTACTCATTAGTAGCACTTTTTCTGGATCTGAAACATGTACAGTGTATTTCTATTTTGTCATTAGGTTTATGGGGGCAGTAGGGAATCTTAGCAAGGAGGAATTCTAGCCCTTGGAAAATTCCACAAAGGTCAAATGTGTTGCGCAAGGTGGTGCTTTACATATCTGTGAATAGAAGATCAGGGAGGCAGAGCACCATCTGCAGAACGGTGGGAATTATTTTGAGAAATAATTTCAGTATGAAGCCTTGTGCCATATTATTGTTAATGGTTCTGCAGAGAAGGTAGAACATCTGGCTTTTATTGTCCCATAATAAAGAACTTCACATATTCAACTGCACAAAACTTAAATTACATGCCTCAAGGGGATGAAGGGCTGAATTGAAGTTTTATGGAGTTAATTTTTCTCCCCTTTATCCAGTGCAAATAAAAAATAACCACCAGAAAAGAGCTACAGTTACATCAATAGAGTTGAAAGAGCATTCAGTTACCACGATGTGAATGAGTCAGATGGTGGGTAGTTGGAAGTGGGCTCTTTGAAAGTGTTTTGGTATGTACTTTTAGCACAAGTAATGATACTGCTTTTTTCCCCCTGCTTCTTTTCAGTCCTGTCTCCCTGGGTACTACCGTGTGGATGGAATACTCTTTGGAGGTATCTGTCAGCCCTGCAAGTGCAATGGGCATGCAACTGAATGCAATATTCATGGTGTTTGCTTTGTAAGTCATCCTTCAAAGTATTCATTTTAAACATCTATTTAGGAAAATAGAGTGTTTTGTTTGTGAAACAGAAGTTTACAGTGTATGTAAATTTAAAGCTATGGATACTCTTGTTTCAGTTTATTATTTCAAGTGAAGAATAATAGGCTCATAGACTGCATTGGGTTGGAAGGGACCTTTAAAGGTCGTCTAGTCCAACTGCCCTGTAGTGCACAGGGACAACTTTAACTAGGTCAGGTTACTCACCTTGTATTGACTGGTAAAAATCTTAACTTTGCTGCAGGTGACAATAAAACTTTTCCTGAAAGGAACGAAATTAAACAGTGTTTTGGCTGAATATGTTTTCAGATACATGTGCATCTTCCATGACTGACATCAGTGGAGATTACACATTGCCCTCTGAAGTGAGAATTTAGTTCTCAGATCTCTTCTGAAATAAAATGACTAAACACCAGTAAGAAATATTTGAGGTTTTTTAAGGCAAATGTGTGCAATATACAAAATACATTTGTTTTGTGTATAAGTAATGTGACTGGTTTAATGATGTAAAGTGTATTCTAAAATGTGCTAAAGAAACAGTTAGGATTTGTTGTTACAACTCGGAAAAAAACCTCACTTATTTTCAAAATTCTACTCTCTCCTTCATGGCTGTCTCCTTGAACACCATGCTGCATGCAAACTCCTGCAGAGATCGCTCAGGGGCTGAAAAACCATCAAGGGTAAACCTGAAAGGACTTTTTTTCCATGTCTCGCAGGCTTGTCAACACAACACGACAGGACCTTTCTGTGATCAGTGCTTGCCCGGCTTCTATGGAAGTCCATCCCAAGGAACTCCTGAGGACTGCCAGCCCTGTGCATGTCCTCTGAGTTCTGCTGCAAACAAGTAAGCTGTTTACGTGAGATTTTTTTTCGTTTCAGCAGAATCAGAAAGTGAAGAAAAAAGAGTTGTGATAGCTGAATGAGAGAGCGAAAGATTTTTTTTTTTTTCCCCCTCTCTTCATTTGAGCATGTTTCAGAAAAATTGTTTTTTCAGAGAGACAAATGTATAGACTAAGCTAGGATAAGCTGAGTGGACTAGTGCAATGTGTACATTAAGGGTAAAAGTAATTCTTAGACATACCCTTGAACTTGGGAGCAGAATCACGGTTATCTTTCATGTTGTTTCAGAAAACAACAGAAGGACAGAAGTGTTTAATGTGAAAAAGGGGAGCTTACTGCAGAAATTGAACAGATTTGTGAGAAAGATGGCTAGGTTTTTAGGAAGTTTAAAAAAACACAAAGAACCTCAAGAAGAGTTTTTGAAAACAAGTTTATTCTTACATTTTGTAATGTTTAGAGCATTGATGTTGACCTAGAAAAAAATTGCAATTGCATGATTATATAGGTGGATTGATATGAAGAATGGATATAGAATATTTGTGTAAGTCTTGTTGTTCTGTGTGTTGATACTGACTGCCATAATTATTGTTGCTAGTTTCAGCCCCACTTGTCAACTTAGTGAAGGAGGTGGGATTGTCTGTGACAAATGTCTTCAAGGTTATACTGGTTCTCAGTGTGAAAGGTATGTACACTAGCTATCAGTGTCATTGTCATCACTAACTGTCCACCATCCTTGTTCATGCCACATGTATAGAACTTTCCTAATGATATTTTTCTTTCATCGTTGCTTGTAATACAGAGACACTTTAGATAAAAGTTTAATAGGAAGTACTCCCTTGGGTGGAGAGATTGTTTAACGTGACAATATTCCAGCTGCTAAAGCTTTTAATCTGTGGTGCAGGTGTGCTAATGGTTACTATGGAAATCCCCTCATACCTGGACAGTTGTGTGCTCCTTGTGAATGCAATGGCAATGTAAACCCACAAGAGGATGGCCACTGTGATACCTTGACAGGACAATGCCTGAAATGTCTGGGGAACACAGCAGGTCACCACTGTGAAAAGTGTGCTGATGGGTATTATGGGGACGCAGTGATTGAGAAAAGCTGTCGTGGTAAGCTATTGTTACTACTCTTAAAATGTAAAGGACATAAAAATGTGGTGTACATGTAGCAGAATGGATGGGGGCATATGCCCATTTGCTGAAAGAGTTGTCAACTCACAACTTGAAGGCTAAGTGCAGGTTGAAAACTATGGGGTTGGGTTCGCCCGAGGAAGGAAGATGTTATACTAGGATATGACAGTTTGTGTTCCTGAAACTTACTGACCAGCTTAACACTGTCCCTCCAGTGACCTGCTATAGACGTTTCCTGCTTCTGAATGTTACATAGAGGACTGGAACTTCTTAGATGTGTCTATTCACGGAGATTTTTTTTTTAGTCTTTTAGCCTAAATGTATAATACAGATATTACTATAGTATATTTGTGGGATGTAAGCAGGTAAAACATATTATAAAGCAAATTTGAAATTCTGTATAATAATGAATGCATATAGATAGACATTAGTACTTTTAAAAAAAGTTTTCTTTTTGTCTAAACATAAGCCTGTGCCTGCCATGTGAATGGTTCTCTTTCGAGTACCTGTCATCATGAGACAGGCTTCTGTCACTGCAAACCAAATGTCATCGGAGAAAGATGCGACAAGTGCTTGGTAAGCTAATATCTACCTGTTCCCAATATCTACATTTTCTCATGTCTTGGTCTTCCTGTTTATCTATAGACATTGATTAGAGTAGATACAGAGAACAGCATCAAATATATTCAGGAGAATCAGGACCTGTTGCTGGAATGGAGACCAAAGGTTTGTCCGCACAAGCTTTTGCTGTTGCAAATTGCTCTGCCTGCACTCTTTGCAGATGTGAAGCTATGTAGCTGACTCAGCACCCTTCTGAAAAGGGCTGTTCAGGCTACTGCTGCTCTCACTAACGGCATGCAGTCATGATGAGCTACCAAAACCACAAATGGAACGCTGCTAACAGACCTGAAGGGACCTTAGTGCTGTGCTTCTGCAAAATGAAGTCTGAGTGGGAATATCTGAAGAATGTGGTGATGATAAAAAACATTGTGGCTGAGCGCCTGAAAGGGATTCAGCTAAAAGATAGGACTGTTATAGGAACAAGTAGATATTCACTGGTGATAGAAAGCAGCAGTTTCCAGCCTTTGTTAAGAGTAGAACTGCCTCAGAGACCAGAGCAGGAAATCTGTGCCCAGTTGCTGCCCTTGTGCTAGCCCAGCTGAATGCCTTTCAATCCACGTGTCCTGTAGGTCACTGACCTGCTCTGTTCTGGTCTTTCATTCACATTCACAGTAATCTGTGCCTGATCAGCACAGCCCACTCTAACCTCATGGAAGTCTTTAAATTAAAATAACAGCAGACCTGAAAACATGAAGTCTGGCTGATGAGATTAGGGGACCACGAGAGCATTTAATTTTTCACATTTTCCACCCAAATGCATACTTGCATGTAGCTGGGAGCAGTGAAGAGAGAAGGCCAGGGAGTCTTCTCAGAGTGGTCACCCAGTGCTGACCAATATTCATGCAGGTCAGACAACAGGGAAATTCAATGAGGGAAAATAAGAGTGTACATTGTATTGTTTTCAAAAATTTGGGAAATATAACTCAAATGTATTTGCTTCCTATCCAACAGAATGGTTATTATGGCCTGCTAACTGGGCTTGGCTGCATTCCCTGCAACTGCAGTCAATTTGGCTCAGTCTCCGAAGACTGCAATCATCAGGGACAGTGTCACTGTGCACCAGGAGTGGCTGGAGAAAAGTGTGATCGTTGTGCTCATGGCTTTCATACATTCCAGGATGGTGGCTGCACACGTAAGCTCTAATCCATGATCTTCTCGGGGTTCAGCTGGAGTTTTTCAGCAATGTATTTTATGTGAAACTCTAGCAAAAGTCAGTTGTTCTGATGACTACACAGAAATATCTGTGGAATGGTCTCCTAATACTTTGATTATGCTAGGGAACAAAACATGTCTTTGATTGTTTGTTGAGTGGTTCCTTGTAAAAGGTTGTGACTGAAATAACAACTTACAAAAGTTGCATGAAAGAAATACTACATCCTCAATAGCTCCTTTGTCTTTTTTTGTGTCTTTTTTTTTTTTCCACAAAAGTTGTTGGTTCGTCAGACAGGACAGAAACTTTTTTTTCTGGCATTCATAGAAGAGCTACTGTTTTTAGATTTTTACCTTGTTTTTTCAATTGGTTCTCAGAAATATATTTTATGCTTTGATAAGATGTCACTGACTCTATTTTCACAGAATCATAGAATGGCCTAGGCTGGAAGGGACCTTAGAGATCATCTAGTCCAACCTCCCTGTCATGAGCAGGGATGCCTCTCAACTAGATCAGGCTACTCAGGGCTCTATCCAACTTGGCCTTGAACACCTCCAGGGAGGGGGCAGCCACAACATCTCTGGGCAATTTATTCCAAAGTCTTGCTGCCCTTGTACTGAAGAATTTCTTCCTAAGGTCCAATCTAAATCTGTTCTCCTTCAACTTAAACCCATTTCCCCTTGTCCTATCAGTGGAAACTCTTGTAAAAAGTCCCTCCCCAGCCTTCCTGTAAATTCCCTTTAGGTATTGGAAGGCAGCTATTAGGTCCTATCATCACTTGTGAGCTTAAAAGTTTTAGTCATGATGCAAAGGAAAATGTTAATCCAAATGGAGAGCGTGCCAACAAGAAACCTGTTTTGTCATGTTAATAAGGTGCCCTTTTCAACATAGGCATATAGCTGAAGGAATGCCTACCTTTTGTCTAACCTGACAGAAGCATCATTTTCATGCCTCAAATAGTATATTCACAGAATTATGGTTTGGAATGTATGTACTGTGTCTTTACTAAGAAACAAAGATCCCTTAGGTACCTTTAACCATTTCAGGCTCAAAAATTTTGTTGATTTTGTTAAAACAATTAATAGAACCACTTTTCTGAACTTATACTTTTTAGCAAGAGCAGTATTGCATTTCTTAGATAGACAAGTGCTTCCTGAAGAGTAGTTGTTAAAAAAATAATTAGCCATCCCTATTATTTACTAGGCAATTCCTGCAATGGACTAATTCTTGAGATTAATCCTTTAACCTGCTTGAGAACATTATCCTGTCTCCTGATGAGTTTTGTATCTTCTGTAATAGGGTCTTTTTTTTTTTCTTACGAATCTACTTTGCAATAATTTTGTTTAGCGTTGCTGATTCCTCTGTAGAAATTCAGCACTGCTTTTTAAACCACCAAACAGGCTATGGCAAGAAGCATTAATGGGCTTTCAATAAAAAGATGAAATATCACTGTGGTCATAATTTGTTTCTCAGTGATTAGAGGTGTCAAGGAGTTCCTAGTGGAATGGATAAACTCTACTGCGTAATTAAGAAAAGTAAGACTATAATTTGTCTTGGAGTTTCTTCTCTGTAGCTAAAGCAAGGATGAAGTTAATAATTTGATCCTGTTTTTCTTGCAGCCTGCGACTGTGCTCATACTCTGAACAACTGTAATGCTGATTCTGGCCAATGTATTTGTCCCCCACACACTCAGGGACCAAAATGTGAACACTGTGAAGAAAATCACTGGGGACTCTCTCCTAAATTCGGCTGCAAGGTATGGTAAGCGGGATGAAAAGCCATGGCTGTTAAAAGCCATTTGCTTTATACTAAAGTGAGAATTGGACCCTTTTTCTGAGAACCTCAATTCTTAATCTGTGTCTCAAAGTGTGAGTGCAACATGGTCACTTTAAAAAAAAAAAATACTGTGAAAATATTTATCACAGAACCTCCTAAAAAAGCTGAATACTGTTGAGAGTGCCTGTTCTGCATAGATCATAATAAAGTTTTGAAGTATACACTCTCATTATTTAAATAGTGATGCTAAACAGATTTATAGCAACAACTGGCAACAAGAAACAGTTTCTGCACTAATCAAGGAGTAATTTTAAGAACAAATAAATCTATCTTATCTTGATTGTCACTGCATGCTTTGCTTCTGAATGTTTAAAATTAACATATTATAAGGTAGTTAATGTTTCATGAATAAAAAAAAATGGTAACTCACATAAGCACAAATATTAAGATGAGATGAACCAATAAAATTCCAGCTTGGTGCAGATCCAAGGAGAAGCAATCATTTATGCATTTAGGTTCATGCAGTAAATTCCTGACAGATATGGCATTGGGCCCATCTTTATTTTATAAATGTTGATATTTTTAAAAGCCTCAAAATTACATGAATGCAGTGAGAAATTTCAGTGCAGAAACCACAAATATAATTAACTTGAAAAAATCCGTCATTATACATGGTAAGTACTTGACAAGTACAAATACCAGCCAAATTATTATTATATTTTTTTTCTCTCTCTGATTTTTGAGAGCAAGGATGATAAAATAGTCTGATAATACCTCTTCAGAGTTTACCATCTTGATGTTTTATAGCAACTTACTTGGCAGCTACTTGTCACCTACCAGCTATGGTCATTCTTACCTAATATTCTGCAAATACAATGTACTGATCCCAGTGCATTTACATTGAATTGTTCTTTCATAGGGTGATTCCATAGCACTTGCCAATGATCAAGTTTAATTAAATACATAACTGCTCACTTCTGCTAAGTGGTTTAGCATTCCTTTTGCTTACAGCTTCACATGAATTACTCTTCTATTTCTTTACTTCCTTGGTGCAACAGACAATACTGTGATTAGCAGGTAATAGTCCCAACAGAGACTCCCCTGTGCTGAAAAGTCAGCTGTGGAAGTTTGAGATTTGGTGCCATGTCTCCTGGCAAACCTGGAAAAGGCTCTTTCTCCCTCTCTGCATGTGTGAAATGGGAGATGCTGTCTTAAACCCAGCTGGTCTGATTTTGCAACACAGACTGCATTGGTGGAATGCTTCACCTGGCTCTGTTTCTTGCAGTTTTCTTGGTATTCAGCGTCCATTTTTGGGTGCAGTGATGGAGCAGAGATGTAGTCATGTTTTGCTTACAACCCTTTTCCAATGTGCTGCAACACAATTTCTTAGAGTCCTTAGTTATCTTTATTGCATATAAATAGAGATTGAAGTAAGTGTAAATTATTTATAGTTTTATGGTTCTGAAAATAGGATTTGACATTCAGGGCCATAGGCCTTTAATGGTACCTGGGAGCCAAAACTGTCAACTTGTTTTGTTGTAAATTGTGTTTGGACTAGGCAGTGTGGTATGTAGTGCTTGCTGCTGGAGTAAAAACTGCTTAGTACAAAGGATAGCAAAGGTGAGAAGCAAACTTGTGAAGAACGCTAAAGGGTACGTGGTGATTCCAATAGATTTTGTAGGTCTCTGTGTAGAGTGCTTTACAAGGTAAAGCCTTTCATATCAAAGAGAGATGGTGAGGAAAGAAGACAAGGAAAACACTCACAGTCAGGTGATGATAGATGGAGTGGATTTCTTGCCTGCACTGTTAGAAACAACCACAGAGCAAGATTGCATTTGTTAAGTAACCACATGCATTAAATTGAGACTGAAGTTTAGATCCAGTCTGCTTCAAAAAAGAATGTCAAAATAAGTAAATACACTTTGCATATTTGTAATGACAAGTTCATGTTACCGATGGCATAATGAAGGATGGGCTTTGCCAGGGAACAGTATTCCTTTGGTGCTGAGATTTCAACATTTCGATGCAGTGAGATCCTTGGTTCATCATCAAATAGTAAATGAAGCTTGAGAAAGATAGATATAAACCTTATCATTGTTTCCTGAAATCTTAAGAAAATGACAGTATAAAAATATTTCTTTCTATTGTATCTATAAAATTATTGTACTTATAATTTTCTTTCATCGACATTTATGTTGGCATTTGTTTAGTTTACTTGCTGCTCCCAATATGAAGTATTTTAAATAAAGTCTTTTGGATTTTTATTTTTTTCTGGAACAGCTTGCTTCAACTCCGTTGACTCCCAGCCTAGATCTGGGAATCAGCAAAGGTTCTTACTTTTTGCTATGCACTGTTTACTGGAAATGCAGTTCTTTGTTCAAATACAAGCCAAACAAAGAAAATTCTTTTATTGTACAGTAATTATAGATAAACAGTGAGTTTTAAGCACCATTCTAAATTTACTGCACTGTGTTGTATCGAATTTTTTTTTTAAAAAAGATCTGCTGATTATGAGTGTTTTCTTCATTTCTTCTAAGGCTTGCAACTGTAGCAACACTGGTTCAGCCAATCTCCAGTGTGATGTATTGACAGGTCAGTGCCAGTGCAAAGTTGAATTTGGAGGCCAAGACTGTTCCAGGTGTGCGCTGGGCTACAGGGACTACCCGGACTGTGTTGCCTGTGACTGCGATTTGAGTGGAACTAAAGCAGAGATGTGTGATGACTCTGAAGGACTTTGTGGTTGTGAAGAAGAAACTGGCCTCTGTACCTGCAAGGTACTGAAATATTCAGACCCTTTTGGGACAGCATTGGGGTTTCTGAACATTTTATTATGTAAAAATTATGGAAGTTTTGGGGTGAAAGGGCTTCAAAAGGCAATCTTCATCCCTTCTTTGCCACATTTATGAATACACCTAAATAGCCCCTAGAGAATTTCTTGTGCTAGCACTAAACAGGTCTTATTAGTCAGCAGCATTAAAAATTTCCAGATGATATACCCAACTTTTTGCTGACATAACACAGCTTTATGTAGAAGAGATAACAGAGCCATGTTAGTAACATTGCTATTTCTGTTCTCAGAAATTCCTTTGATAATTCTATACATTTTTTCTCCCTTTGTTTTGTTTTATGTAGACAGGTAATATTATTTCCCATTTATGGTCATAAAATTATAATGGCAAAGTACTGGAGTTCTCTTTTAGACAGAATTTGTGAATCTTGATGTGGATGTGTGTTAAGAAGTCAGGATCAAGACCCTTTGTATGCTTTATCACAGAACATCACTTCTAGGTGACTAATGCTGAATCCTTGCTAATTTGAAAAACAGCTGCTATACATCTGATAGAAAAATGACTGCTATCTTTCTAGTCTTGTACAGTATTTGGAATATTTCCTGAATATGGTCCCACTGCAGTCTGAAATTCAAATAAATTGCATTTGCTCAATGTAGGATCCATGTGTTTGTTCTGTATTGAGTGAATTTCTGTAACCACACCGTTCTTGTACTGCTTTCAGAGTCTTCTCTTTTTGCTGATTAGTACTGTAAGGTAGAGATGAATGAGTATGCATTTGTCTTCCTTTTCCTTTTGCTCCTAGATTCCTGACTGCCTCCTTTTGAATAGGAGAAAGCACTGGCCATGAGTTCTGAGAGAAAAAAAAAAAATCTCATTAAATATGTGAGAATGGTGCTATGACTTTAGTGTCACTATATTTCTCTGTATGATGTAAATGCCTTCTGATACCAAGAACAATGCTATGTGAACCATTTTTAATGGTACAATTTTTACATGGTTTATGTATCCTGCTTGCTGTATTCTACAGTTGCATTTTGCCTTGCAAATAGTTGCAATAATAGTAGTTCTTAACTCATATGCATTGTTTTTTACTTGCTGTTGAAAAGTATGTTTTTCCTCAGTACACACGGCACATTAGAGAAGAATCATCTATAATAGATAAAAATATTTTGATACAATGACAATACAGAGAAAATGTTTGTCTGAAGCCAGGGAAAACTATTCCTTCACAGAGTCTAAGAATACTTGCTGTAAGAATTACACTTCTAAGTGCAGGTCACATTAATTGATATAATCTTGAAATTTCTGAGCAGACAATATCTGACAAGAAAAAGTTGGGGTTTTTTCTTAACATAGAAACATAAATTCACTACATGGTATTTTGGCAATGAACTATTCCATTTTCTGTGTAGAGATAGATAGACAGCACTTCAACAGCTTCTTCCATCCTAGATGTGAAAGCATTAAAAAAACCCTCAATAAATGTTAGAAAACTCTAGTCTTATCCTCATTATACAAATGGAAAAATGAAATACAGAGAATTTTTTTTTCTGCTCACACACATGGTTTTATTAGATTTGGGGACAGCACATTGATTCAGATGGCATAGCCTGCTCTTTTGAATATCCAAATGGCAACAAAAGAAGAAACCAATGAAAACAAAAAAATGTTGAGATTCTCTGTTTTAAATGTTATGTTGCAAGTTCAAATTTATTTCCTATGCTATAACCAAAGGCAGTGTTTAAGAATAACTTGAGTATATTGCTAATACTGAAGCCAGTTAGCTCAGTCAGCTGAGCGTGGCGCTAACAGCACTAAGGTTGCGGGTTCGATTCCTGTTCGGTCCCCATGTGTTGCCTGATCTAGTCGAGAGGTGGCGTCCCTGGCAGCAGGGAGGCTGGATTAAAATGATCTCCAAGGCCCCTTCCAGCTTAGGCCATTCTATGATTCTATGATTCTCATATAAAAAAAGCAAACATTGAGTAAACAGATTTAGTATCCTAGATTTTTCTGAAAAGATGGAAATCTGTTCTTGAAAGACTGAGTGATAGATAAGAACTTACTTGAAAGCAACAAATGTATGCCTTCATAGGTCTCCTTCCAGTTTTGTGGTTAAAGGTGCCCAGTTGGCACTGACTGTAGTTTTGGGTGTTTCTTCAAGTTGTACTTGCCAGCTGGGAATTGAGTGCAAAATTAGACACTTGGGAATAGGTCCCTTGGTTTCTGTTCATACTAAACAGTTTCTTTGGCTTTGAGAAACCATTTTCCAGATGAGGGAGGGTAGGGGAAGATTTTTCTGTTTTGAATGGAAATGTATAGCTACTAACTTTTGCTAGAAATTCAAATGTGAGTTTAGCTTGAATGTTCCTTGTTGATTTTTGTTTGTTGTTTTCTTTTTTTTTTTAAAAACCCACCATATTGGAAAATAATTTAAAAAAATCTACTGCATAGTAAAACAGAATAGATGTAATAACTGACTTCCTGCCATGTGGTTTACATAGCTACTAGTTTTTCTTTCAGAAAGAACCATCTTTCATTCAGCTAGTAAATTAACATCAGTATGCTCTTATGTTTTGGATTTTTTTTTTTTTATTTCCTCCAGGAAAATGTATTTGGCCTACAGTGCAGTGAATGTAAACCTGGAACTTTTGCTCTATCTGCTAACAATGGACTAGGCTGTACTCCGTGCTTCTGTTTTGGGATGTCCACATTCTGTTCAGAACTAGAAGACCATGTCAGAATTCCTGTAAGTAAAATGACGTAAATGCACAGGTACACTTTGGTGTTATCCTCATGTTAGATACAGCACCTCCTCCCCACAAACGTGGCATGGGGGGACAGGCAATGGAGGCTGCGGTCAGTTCACTGGTGTCATTTCCACCTCTTTTTCTTCCTCTGGGTGAGGACTCCTCACTCTTCCCCTGGGCCATTGTGGGGTCCCTCTCATGGGAGATGATCTTCACACACCTTTCTCCAGCTTGAGTCCTCTCATGAGAGACAGTTTGTCACAAACTGCCCCAACATGAGTCTCTCCATGGGGTGCAGTCCTTCAAGGGGAAACTGCTCCTGTGCAAGTCTGCCACGGCATCACAAGAGTCCCGCCAGCCCACCTGCTCCTGCTCTCTCCATGGGCTACAGG